TTTTTTTTTTTTTTTTTTTTTTTTTCAACAAACAGACAGCTCTGTTGAGTCCAAAAAGTTGCTGTGATCGTTGCTGCTTCATTTGGTTGTATGGAATTGTGTGGATGAAAGAAGACCCAAAAACAAAAATTTTAATTTTAAGTACAAAAAGTATACACGGCTACTGCCTGCTGGCTCTATCGTTTGTTGGAAATTTCAGGCTTTTTTTACTCTTCTCCTTCTTAGCGAAAGAGAGAAAGAGAGGGAGGGTTGAAAGATATTTTCAGTGGAAGATTATAGATCGAAGAAGATATTCCAATTAAAATTTGTAAAAACTGACATTATATTTATGCCCAGCATGCTTTTATATGAATTTATCCAGATTGGTGGAAGCGGGTGCAAGTGCAGTATATGCCTTTTGCGTGCATGGTATCTTCTCGGGACCTGCACTGCAAAGGCTAAATAGTTCGGTATTCGAAGCAGTGGTCGTGACGAATACGATACCCCAAGAAGAAAACATGAAAAAATGCCCTAAAATCCAGGTATTTCATTCGTATTTCTTTTTTTTTTAATGTTTTCTTTACTCTGTCTTTCTCTACCCCCTTTCTTATCCTATTCATTTTCTTTTTATACTACTATAATTCTAGTTTCAGTTCAGTTTTTATGGTATTTTATTCATTGGCTTATTTTTAGAGTGTGATGTTTATTTTTATATTTAGCCACTGTTTCGAATCTGTCGATTTGAAAAACTTGTCGAAATTTAAAATTTAAGCCCTGCCTGATTCATTTTTATGCGTTTTTTGCAGCTATGCAATGCAGAAAACGCATATTGACGAGGGGTTTTATTCATTTTTTAGAACAGATGTAGCTAGTTGTTAGTAACTCCAGTTCTAGTATATTCCAATAACAAACACCTTCTAACAAGTTTTGGTGATGTCTCCACTTTCCGATGTTTGTTAAAAGGGCAAACTAATAGCGGCTTTAATAGAAAGTTATGATAGGAAGGAGGAAAATAAAGAGGAAGAAGGGAAAAGGAATGAAAATTAGAAAATTCGTGAGATTATTGTAATTGGTAAGGAATATTTCGGTCCATCAGGTTGTATGCATTTCTTACCGTTACCACAACTGGACTTCGTTAATTTTGTACCATATGCCAA